GAAGCGCCGCGACGAAAATGGGGGGGGGGGGGGATTTCATCCAGTCGCGATTTCGCAGATATTTTTTTAATGTGTCAGATGTTCGTAATATCCGCGCCACGTAAAATGGATCGCGACGTTAATAAACGTACCTGTCGAGATGTCGATTCGAAGTGTAATTGTTGTTTCGCGCGCAAATTGCTTAATTTCTTTTCATACCGTGTCTGCTCGATAAATGAATAAAACGACCGACCGCATGCAGGCTCAATGATACAGAATAATCGATACTAATTAATTCTGCGCGCATGGTGGCGCGGAATTGAGCGGATACGTTCTATAATTACTGCGAGAGACACACGTTTCTAGCATTTTCTATTAGCGCGAAAGTCGGCGGAACGCGAATCGCTTGTTTCGACCTCTCTCTCTCTCTATTTTTAACGCGGCGTATCCTCGCGGCTATAAATTTCAAATTAAAATCCTATTGAAGTCCCGTCTTGATTTAACCGAGGACGCAGTTTCGTGTGTTATTAATCCAACTTGAGAATAAACGTCGTACTGTAGCTTTTAAATAACGATAACAATAATTCCGCAGTTTCGTGAGACAACGTGGCATTTCGAAAAATTGTATAACAGTTTTTTTGAAGTTTTACCATAAAAGAATTCAATGATAACTTGGCCATGTCTGGCAATTTTTATGTTGAAAACCTCGCAACGTTTCGACCATGGTCTGTGGTCTTTTTCAATGGAATAAATTGGCAAAAATTATAAAAGTAACTAATACTTAATTAAAATATATTTATATAAATATTTATCATTTTTATAGTCTTTATGAAAAAAGATATTTGTTTTAAATACCAAATAGATATTAATCACTGTTTTAAAATGAAACCAATATAGTAAGTTTTTAATAAAAAAACATTGTTTTATTGAAATTAATACATATTTTTAAATCGAGAACCTCGGAAATACTAAATTTTATATTAATTTTTAGCTTATGCGGGGAAATAATACTTTTTTTGCAGTGCTTTCTAAAAGTTTTCTACTTATATTATCGTTTTTAATAGAAAAGACCAGTTTTTGCCGATTTTTACCACTGGCACAGACTTTATCCAGAAAAAAAGTAGAATTTTGCCAACCCAGAATAAAATGCGCATCAAGTATAATTGCTAGTAAAATTTCCAAACCTCTCATAGGCCCGGTTTCATTTTCTGGTTGACTGTCAACCGGAAGTTGGTCGACCGTCCATCTTTCTCTACGTTATTACCTGAGAAGAGACGGAGAGTCGACTAACCTCCGTTTAGCAATTAATCAGAGAATGAAAAACCGGGCCACAGAGTCGTACAAAATGCCATGTTGTCCCGCGATTGCATGATTTCCAGGATTTTTCAAAGAAAGTTCTCTCCGCGCGGAACTCGCGGGGAATTACTCGGAGAGTAACTATTGATATCCCGGCGCGCTTTTATCCCCGAAGGAAAGTGAACTCGAAAAAAGAACAAATCCATACTCGAGGAAAGTGGAGAGAAGCTCGAAATTACAAAGAGACGCTCTCGCGTTTATATATCCTTTTCTCCCCGTAATTCTCTATCTTATTGTACCTCCGAGCAATTGTGATCCCGAGTCGATATTTCGGTACTATTTTCACTTTTAACCTACCTGGCTAATCTATACACCAACATAGACCAGCAATAACGTACTTTGATGACATTATATATTTGTTTTACTCCTCCCTCGAATCTTTAATTCTAAAAATTTACCGAGGGGAAAACTGCTGGCCAAAATCTTGTACACCAATGACCACTAATGCCCATTACTTGATCTTGTTATCTTATGTTATCATATTTATCTTTTGTCTTATCTTTATAATGTCCCAGCAAGGCCTAATGCCCCAAAAATGCCCAGTAGTGCCGCAAATCTGTACGCCACAATGCCCTCAGCGGTTTCCCCCTCGAAATTTACTTTAGCTCCTACTTAAGAGGACCTACTTTACTGCTAAATTGGCAAAAGCAGAAATTTCCGACACTGTCAGTTTTAAAGTAGGAGTAAATTTTGTACTTGCAGTTCGACCTCTTTTGCTGTCTTAGGTCCTACTGTATGATAGAATTAAAGGTTCAACGTAGGGCCAAAATTTTGACTCGGGATTGTCGGAGTGCAATCGCTTCTCCATGGTCTGCGACAGATCGCGTGTAATTTGCGATCGATCCTTTGCCGCGATCACGTCGCCGCGTCCGCGTACCGGAGGTGTCGCCGGTCACCTGCGAATTCTATTTATCCCCGACGTTTCCTCGTGTGTGTCGCGTCCGCGCCCGCTCGGCGGGAGGACGCGAGGACGCGAAATTACGCTGCCAGGACGAATAAAATCTGGCGCGTGTGATCGAACGCCTTTAGACGCGGGTATTTTCGGATGACCCACTTCGTTCTATCCGTCCGTAAAGACGATAATTATCGACGATACTAGGAATAGCGGCGACGAGAATGGCGTGACAGACACGGCGTGTCCGTTATTCCTTCGCCTGCGAGCTCTCGCTTATGGTGGTCGGAATAATCCACATGGTAGGACACCATCGCCGACTCAGCGTTCGACAATTTAGTCGAATGCCAATTTACATGAAACATATCTTGCTTCTTTTTCAACGAGTGCTCCCATTCGATTAAATTTCCTGCGTGACGCAACTGAATTTGAATTCGTTATAAAACTGGTATCGTTTTTTTCCCCCCCATCGTTGTGTCGCAGGGATGATCGAATCGAGCACTGATTCATGTTTCGGGTATTTGGGTAAACCGCCGAGGGCATTGTGGTGTACAGATTTCTTATTTAACAAAAAACAATTATTTTATTTAACAAATCGTATTCTGTATCTCATGAAACCTTTATTTGAATATAGAAAATGTAACGATTTAAATTAATTTACTTAATATAATACATAGATTTATTTGAAATTTGATATATTTTTTAATAGAATAAATGTTTACTTCAGTAAAAAATAATTTTAAGTAAATCTATTTACTTAGTTTAAAATAATTTTTTGTCAGTGTAGGCATTTTTTCGGCATTAGTGGGTGTTATTTGGCCTTGCTGGGGCATTATAAAGAATCTAAAAAGATAAGACAAGTTAGAACAAGATAAAACGAGGTAAAATAAGATAATAAGATGAAGTAATGCCCACTGGGTATTAGTAGGCATTGGTGTACACGATTTTGGTCAGCGGTTTACCCCTCGGGAATATCTTTAGGACGTGTAGATCCGTGAATTTCGAATTTTCCCACTATTTTGCAATATCGAATTTCCTGTGTAGACTATGATTATTCGAAAAATCTATAAACTGAGAGGAAATTTGAATTTACTTTAATATAATCGTAATCAACTACAAGTATCGTATATTATAGAAAGTGCAGATCGCGAATTTTTCCACCGTTTTGCAATATCGATTTGCCCGTGTAGACTATGATTATTCGAGAAATCTATATACGGGGGAGGAAATTTGATTTTACTTTAATATAATCGTAATCAACTACAAGTATCACTCGCGAAATATTCAGATAGAGTGGACGTGCCATCCAGCGTCATCAATTTTTCCGACCCTCCGCCGCACATTTTTGCCTTGATTAATTTTTCCTAAAGCCGGATTCGCTTTGAGTGAGAATCGAAGTCAAAACTGGGTCAACCTTTTATCGCGTCCCAGGGCCGTACGGGCGTACGTGAAACGACACGGCGGACAATGTCGGTCCCTGCCGTTCTTCCTCGTGCACGACTTCCGCGCCTGAACTTGAACTACTTTCAGACTAATATCGTTCTGCGCCTCTCGTCTAAAATGCATAATGGATGTTTTCATTTCAGCGTGAAGAAAGAACCCACGGACGAGCCCAGCAGCCCTTTGGAAGCCACCAGTCCCGGTTCCATCCTACGCAACAACAACGGTGAGTTCCTAAAAATAATTGTGTGGCTAATCTGTGCCGTTCTACGTGAGGCGTTCGATACTATGGTGGTCTAACTTTGGGAAAAATAGCTACGAAAATAGAAAAATAAAATTGGCCTCGCAGCCTTCCTACCTTTCCCTCGAAAACTATAAGTGGAACGGCATGCCTGCTATTTCTTTTTAAAGAGATTGCACGATACGTTTTGCATCTGATCTATTTTTGGTCTCCTGAAGCGTAAGAGTGATTATAATGAATTGCACTGTTGACAAAGTAAGATGCAAAAAAGCGTCAGAAGTTGCAGAGAGTAAAATTGCAGAGACTAAAAACTGATTTGACTTAAGGCTTCAATCTTAGTGTTCGGAAAACAAGCCTGTTTGTGAAGCGTGATCTTATTGTATCGAGTGCTTCATCTAATTTAGTAGCGCAACAATTTCGTTAAAACTGCGAGAGAGGGTATTAAAGAGCGTTAACTTCTTCCTCGCGCCGACTATTATTATGCACGATGTGATAAATAATTCGCAAAACGTTGCATTAAAAAGAGATTATCGGAAATAAGAGAAACAAACCAAACCACATTAGTATCAAGAGAGAAGGAGAGGGGGGGGAGCAATGAATATCTGAAAACATCAAGTAAAACGTGTATACCTCTATTGACTTATTATGCAAATCAGATTCATTTTCCTAGCTTTACGTTTTGAAATTTCTTCTCGCGCTTTTCTGTTTTAAATCGTTTCCAGCCGATGCGGGGAAAAAGCCCCACGCCTGATGCGATATTTAACGAGTCTTTGGTTTTGCGCACGTTTTCGCGACCCGCGATTTATTTCGCCATAAACTTTTTCAATTGCGCTACTTATCGGAGGAGGCGCGGATTATTGAAAGGTGCAAAAAAAATTTCTTTCGACCGTGTCAAACCGGTTTTCTTGGTGCGCCGACCGTGGATTAAAAGACGCATGCTAATCCCATTGTTGGTCCACACGCGCGCACATACGCAGGACTCATCCCGGAGATCGCGCGGAACCTGACTTATAAAGTAATTTCTATCGTTTCCACGTGACGACCAGACCTTACCCTGTTCACACTCGACGTTTAGGATGCATTTGTTAACGGTCGTCGTAGAGGCACAAACGCGTGAAAGGGAAACGCCACGGATAACGATTATCCGCGCTGATAAAAAATATCTTAATAAACAAAAATTACTCAAGAAAACTATTCGTAAGGTGGCTCCTAATAGCTTATTAACTTAAATTTAAGAAATAATAAATTAAAACAGGCATTGCCTTAATTTACGTATTTATTAAGTATCAAAGAATAGATAATTTAAAATTTAAAAAATGGTACTTTAATTCTATAAAATGTTTACTAAGATGTAATTTTCGCAGCGAAGAAAATTGGATTACTTATTTAACAAAAACCATTATTTCATTTAACAAATAGCATTCAAATATCTCATGAAATCTTCACTTGAATAAAGAAAATATAATGATTTAAATTAATTTACTGAATATACATAGATTTACTTGAAATTTGATATTTTTCTTTAAATAGAATAAATATTTACTTCAGTACAAAAAATAATTTTAAGTAAATCTATTTACTTTATAGTTCGAAAAATTTTCTTTCGGTCAGTGCAGAGATGTGAAATCGCGCCCAGAAATTCTGACTTTTATAGGACGCGTCTCGCACCGCGGGCAGGTAATAGAATTGAAAAGTGCAAACGGACAGAACGTCAACATTGTATTTTTCGCGTAATTCCCGAGAAATCCCATTCGTGGTTCGCCCACCGAGCGAACGTAATGCCGACGATTGCGGCGAGCGACGGCTTCCCACGACGTCTCCGTCGGCGAAAAAGTTCACCGCGCCGAATTGTCTCGGGGATCCCCCCCGTCCCTCGCGCGCGGTTCACCCTTCGACCCCCCGCGACACGTTCCGTGCACGATGCACGGGTTCCACGCGCGTGGAACAAAACGATAGGGGCGGCGGGAGAGAAGGGGGGGGGGAGAGAGAGAGAGAGAGAGAGAGAAAATGAGCACCGCTGTGCCTCACCACGCGGTGGGATGAGGTTCCAGCTGTAGCTGGCGTTGGATCGATTCAAAAGCGGCAGCAAAGCGCCCCACCCTATTATGTGTTTTCTTCAGACCCCTCCCCCCCTCCTCTCGTTCCATCCCCCGCTGCTTCTCGTCGCGCGAATCCCTCCCGCCACCCCTGCCCGCAACAGCCCCCTTCGCCGCGCTGCGCGCAACCCCCGCGCCCTTTCCGTTCCCTCCCGCGGAGGTTCTATATCGCGCCGGAACAGTTTACTGCTGGTCGGAAGATCTCTCGACGACCGGAAGTGCCCTTCGAGCGCTCCGCTTTAATTGAAGATGATTCCTCCCCCTCTCTCGGTGCTTTTTACCCCGCACCTTCTCGTGCTCCGCGGGCGCTGAGAATCCGAATCGCACCGCCGAGACCAAGATTGGCCTTTCGGTCACCGGTGGACGGAGCACTAATGGGCAATTGGCTGCCAGGGGGGGGGGTG